CAGGAATCGGGCAGTAGGTGGGGAGGTGTAGGCTTGACATGTGGTCTCATGGTATCTTTCTCCGGTGATACTATGTCACCATTCACAGTCAGTCCTCTAGATAATTCTGTAGGATAAACTTAACACAAGGAATTTATTAGTCCAGTTCCTCTCTAAGGTAGTGGTTTCCCTCAAGCACTGGGAACATACCAGTTAAGACTGCTCGCCCTGCCTTAAGATGGGTAGGTTATTATCTGATTACCAAAGCATGTGTTAGGCCTAAGTCCCTGGTTTCTAAAATGGAATCTTATCCTTCAAATGGAACCACTCCTGTTCTGGCTGTACTGTTTGTATCTTGGCATTTTTCATCACAGGCAGGAAAAGTCAATCGCGATGCTTGTCCCAGGTCCCTGCCCTGCCTCACTTTCACTTCTGAGGTTTTGTGGTTCCCCGCATGGACCCACAGGCAGAGGGCTGGGCAGGCTGCAGAGCCCCGCATCAGCCAGGTCAGCTCAGCTGGACTGTGCAGATGCCCGCAGCCACGCTCACGTGTCACAGCCCCCATCCCCACCCTGCCCAGGGGAGATCAGCCTGGAGGGCTCAGAACGGATAGCCAGCCTGGAGCTTGGTGCCTGGAAGATTCCTTAGGAGAATAACCAGCAGTCCTAAGCCTTGCTTCCCACTCACTCCCTCAGGCCATGCCTCCTGAGGGGACACAGCCTCTTCCTTGCCCCAACCCTATGATCAAACATGTGTAAGATGTTCCCAGACCAAGGGTTTGGAGCAGTGCACCAGACAGGCTCTGGGCCTTGGTCCTCAGTAAGACACTGAAGCAACTTTTCTTGAACACAAAGGTCATACTGATTTCAGCTGACAAATCTTAGCAACCACAGAGGGACCCGGAACAGACTGCCCGAGGCTGTCTGACACGTGGCCCTGGTGCCTGGGTGCCAACATGGCCCTGTGGTTCCAGCCAGCAGGAGAGGCATTACTGGGCCTTGGGCACCCTCCTCTCGGTTGTGGCCCCGAGTTTCTGCGGTAGTTGTGTGCACTCTCTTGAGGGGTCCCAGTCAAGGTGACAGGGAGGGGAACTCAGCGTCACAGTTGAGAGATACAGAGGGCATAGTCTCAGGTGAAAGACACTGGGAAGAAAAAAACGAGTGGAGGGAAAATGGGTGCTTTCCTGCCCCACGTGGTCTGTTAAAACAGATTCAGCGAAACAAACCCAAATGTGAAATAGCATCTGTGTGACCCCAAATCAGATTGCAGACCGAGCTGGGCAAGGTGCGATGGGAGAGCACCTGGGAGACCAGGGAAACCTGGGGACACTCCCGAGAGCGAGGGTGGGATTTAGGTGCAGGGCATCCAGGAGCTCCTGCCGAGGGGGAAGAGGGTGGAGACCAGGCATGCAGTTTGTGGCTGACCCACATGCTAGCCTGCCTGGAAGGGGTAATGTGTGTGGCCTGTGGCCGAGGGAACAAAACCTTGGTCAGAGGGGTCTGCCTCCCAACAAGATGTTTGCAGGCCATCAAACTGCCCAAGGGAGGGGTCTACGTGGACAGTGATGTGGGACGAGAAGTTACAAGAGGCCCACACCATCAGAACTGGTGCTGGAAATGAACACTCACCTCCCCAGCCAGTCTCGGTGGAGGTGTCAGAGGTCTAGTCCTCAGCAGGGCCATGGGGAGTTCATTCATGGTGGGTGACCACAGCCTGACAGGGATGCACACACGGACACTGGCCATCTGGTGCTCTGAGCCCCAGGTGGTGTAGAGGCCAGCAGAGAACCAGGCACAGGGCAGTGTTTCGTGGCCTTTGGGAGTGCCATTTGCAAACCAGCATGCTGACCATGGTACCTGAATCCTAGTATTGTGATCTCACTGAACCAGATTGGGAAGCCAGACTTCTGACACAGTCTCACATGAGTGGAGCCACGAGCCTCCTGCTAGTCCAGAAAGGTTTGCTTGCAGCTTGCTCCCTAAATGGGAGGATTTTCCTAAGGGAGATGCATACTGAAATGGCCCAAATGGGGCCCCCTTTTTTTGTGGTAGTGTTTTTGCATGGTCAGGTGGAGAAGCCACAGGGTTAAGCAACCTGAAGGGGATGCTTCGTTGATTGCTTATTTAGAAAAATCCAAAAAGGGAAATAATCTTTAAATTCTAATGAGTCAGTATGCCACCTTTCAGTGCTAAAAACTATGGTTCTGGAAGCTGTGAATATTTAGCAAAAATGGCAAAATCTTACTTTTTGTGGCCTGAGAAAGCTTAATAACTTCCGGTTGGAGAAACTGTGATTGGACAGAAGTGTGAGTCGGACTGTTTGCAGCTGACATCCCAGCAACCTGCTGCCGGTGCTCAGGGCCATTACAGCCTGGGGTGACTGGCCTTTCAGAGGGACATTCCAGTCAGGTGGAATCATTTAGGAAGTGCACTTAAAAAGTCTTATTTATCTCAAAAGGCTTGTATTGTAAAAATTCTGCCTAAAAGCAACAGAAGTTCTAGGAGGAACTTGTATTTTCTGTAACTTTGAGATATACATGCTCTACCTAGAATTTCGTGAGGGGGAAAGGTCATTTGGATATGGAATTCAGGGCTGTAATTTAAAGTTATAAGGTCTCTGAGTCTGTGTTTGTGTAAAATCTGTGTTGTGTGTGTGATCTTTCCTTCCTATGGGATGGTATTGCTAAAAGTAATTTGTGAAAGACTTCCATTTGGTTTCGGTGGGGAGGGAGAATTCTTCTGCACTCAAGATTCTTCTAGCTGGTCTAAGAATCTGTATAGATGGAGACAGTGGGGTGTAAACGTCACCTTGACCTAAGCAGAGGGGCAGGGAAGGCAGGCAGTCGCAGGAGAGGGAAAGAGGAAGGTGTCTGGCGAACAAATGCTGGTGGACGTCAGGAACGGTGGGACGGGGGGTGTCAAGGCTTCGCCACCCCTGTCCACCACCCCGGGCACACCATGGCACAGTCCTCTAGGGCAACTGCCCTCTCTCTGGAGGACATCCTCCATCTAGATGCTTTCTTTACAGTTGGTTGGGGGCCGAGGTCAGGGTCTCTGAGCATTGGGGCCTTGGTAGTTTTCAGCTCTGAAATGATCCGCCTGCCGAAAGAGCACATCTCCAGGCGGCTGCCCCGGGCCCCTGCAGTGGCCTTGAGGTCCGCTCCGCGCTTGGTTCGGAGGTGGGTGGGGTGGGGTCACAGCAAGGGGAGGCCTGTCCCCAAGGCCTGTCCTCAGGAACACTTTGTCCTTCCAGGGGGGCTCGTTGGGGGTGCTCCTGCCCCATGTTGACTGACAGCAGCATAGCAAAGGGCTGGGTGTCTGCAGACTCTAGGTTTTCTGTTGGTTCGGGGACACTTGGCAGCCAGGGTGTGGGTGGGCTCTTGGGTGCAGAAGGAGGATGGGAGTCAGTAGGCTCATGTGACCTGTCCACTGTCTGCTTGCCTTCCTCGTGGAAGACAGGCCCTGTGTGGGCACTGATTGCCCGGCTCCCCCAGCATGGGCAGCTCTGCCCTCACAGGGGGCTCAGCCTGGTCTTGAAAACTGGGCCAGATGTGCGTTCTTTGCAGAACATTGTGAGGATCGGAGGGAAGGCCTCACGGGGAGCCTGGCGCTGTGCTGGTGTGTATGTGCGTGGTCCAGACAGCGTTGCCGGGGTCCTTGCTAGGAGTAAGGATATTTGTCATCCTGTACCTTGGAGTCCTCGACCATTAACAGGGCGGGGATATGGGGCTCTGAGAAGTGACCACAGGAGTCTCAGGTCCCTCTGCGCCCAGCAGCACCTGTGGGGCCCCAGCTGAGCCCTGGCTGTGGGTGAGGACCCAAAGGCCTTGCTGGGGGGCTCGTCCCACTGGGTCACAGAGAGGAGGGGATGTTAGTGCTTAAATGCTGTTTTCCTCTTCCTGGCCCCCAGCTTTGGTTGAAGCCGCTGTTGCCGCGGAGCCCAGGGGTTTTCATGGATGTGCTCTCCCCATCCTGTGCGCTCACAGCTGCCAGCAACTCCCCAAGTGACTCCTCAGGTGGCACAGGCTGGAGCCAGAGGCAACCAGCCGTGGGCAGTGATCACTGAAGCCTGGCGGCTTGGGCATATGTAGCCACCCTTCCCGAGGGCCCCTGCTGGGCCGCTTGTCCCAGGGTGCTGCGGAAGTGACCTGAGGCCCTGTGGGCAGGGGAGCGTGCTGAGCCTCACACCCGTCCTCAGCTGGCTCTAGACTTCATGGGAAGATGCCGCCCAGACTGCCCATCACAGGCTTGTGTTGAGTGGTGAACGAACTGTAAATGCCCAGTCACGGGATCACTGTCCCTGGTGCCTGTGGACAGGAGCACGGGTCCCAGTGCAGCACTGTGGGCACCCTAGTGGCTGGCCGTCCGCCAGGGCCCTGCAGGATGTCCAGCCGTGGGTGTGGGGAGCACCCTCCCCGGCTGTGGCCACAGAGCGTCCAACTGCTGCCTCGTGTCCTCGGGCAGCAAACTCAGCCCTAGTTGGAAACCAACCACTGCAGGAGGATTAGGACATTCCTGGAAGGCACCCGTTGACAGGGGCAGGCGGTCACAGTGCCTGTGGCAGCGGGGCATGGTGCCTCCTGGACCCGTGGATGTGTGTCAGCGGCGGGCAAGCGCACACAGAGTGTGATCGTGCCTGGTGCTCTGCTCCACAGGTCTCCCTGAAGCTGCTGCAGAGCCGTGGCAGGGGTGGCCTATAGGTGCTCATTTTGGTAACAACACAGATTTCCAGAAAACGTCTACCTTTGTTTTGTTAACAAAGTTTGTTTGTGTAGGAAACTCACTGATACAAGTATTCGCTTTAAAAGAATGTGTGAACCAGATTGCTGTCTGCCTGGCCACTGTGCTTGGAGGGGGAGTCCACCCTGGGTGCACGCATCACCCTCAAATCTCTGCCACAGGGTCCGGCTGCCCTGCCCGAGGCACTGAGACTCTTTCCGGAGGAGCGGGGGGTGATGCGGGCAGTGGGGGCTTCCTGCGAGACCGGCCTCTTAGCCTGTGTGTGTGTGTCCCCTCTTCCAGGCTGCTGGCGAGGACACCCGAGCTGGAAGCCGGTTGGAACCCAGGCGCCTGTGCCATGGACCCTCAGGTCAGCTGACCTCTGCAGGGGAAGGGGGAAGGGGGAAGCGGGGCAGCAGGGTACCGCGCCCATAGGGCCAGCCTGACCCCTACTGGGCAGCTGCCGGCACACCTGACTTGGACCCCAGGGAAGGAAAACAAACCTGCCATTCCCATCCTCTTCCCTCCCACACCTCTGCCCGGTGCCCACTGGAAGGGCAGAAGGCTTTCGATTCAAGGCCATGTAAAAGCTGGGCAGTTTTGGGGAGCATCACCGTGGCACAACCACGCCCCCATCTGCGGCAGGCGTGCAGGAGGAGCCTGGAGGAGAAGGCGCATTATCGCCAGCCCAAAGCTCTGTTCACGCCCCTGCTGAGCGTGCCATCTCGCCTGGGCCCTGGCCACGGTCAGCGGTGGCTCGGAGGCTCCAGCTTGGGTCCTCGCTCATCCACAGCCTGTCCTCAGCAGCCGTGGTAGGAGGCATCTGCAAGCCTGGGGATCTGGAGCCCCAGGCCCTGAGCCCCTGAGCAGCCAGCAGCGCCCGACGCCCCAGGGGGTCCCTGGATGTACTCGTGAAACACCCTTGGAAAAGATGGGAACCCGTGATTTTCAGGAGGTAGCTGGAGGGCCCGAGACTGGCGGGCTCAGCAGAGATGTCAGCTGCCTAAACAGGAGAGATTTCAGGAGCTGCCCTTATCCTGATAGAGCCCCTTCCCTGGCCACACACTCCTGCTTGGTGCCATTTAGACTGGCCAGCCACCGTCCCTGCCAGCCACAGCTGTCCCCTTCACCATTCTTGGGGACCCATCAATGGCTCCGAGGAGCACCTGGACTGCCGAGCTCCAGCTCCCAGCCACTTCGTTTCTCCCAGCAGCCTTCATGCAGGAAGGTGTATGGGGTTTCTGCCAGTGTCCTTCTGTGACCGAGGCACAGAAGAGCCCTTGGGTGTTCGGTGGCCCCCATCACAGTCTTCATCCTGTTGTAGATTTTTCTGACTTCTTTCTGACTTCTTTTTTTTCCATTTTTTAAAAACTGTGGTAAATATACAGTGTAAAATGTACCATTTTAGCCTTTTTTTTAATAATAGAGGCCGTTAGCATTAATTAAGTACATCCACATTGCTGGGCTCCATCAGCACCTGCATCTCCAGGACTCCGCACCTTTCCTCCTGCCCCCTGTTCCAATTAAACACTAACTCCCCTCCCCTCCCCCACCCCTGGTGCCCCCATTCTGCTTTCTGTCTATGCAGGTGCCCACTTCAGGGGCCTCACAGCAGCAGCATCGTGATACCTGCCCTGAGCCTGGTGTATCTCATTTAGCACAATGTCCTGGGGTTTTCACTGTTGGCATGGTGCTGTTGATCCACATTGTAGCATTTGTCTGACATTTTTTGATATTTAGAAAAACAAACAAAATAAGTGAATTAAAAAAAAATTTATTTGCTGCTGTTTTCTCCAGGCTTGGGCACCAGGATTACTCCACTTTATTTACTCCACTGGAACTGATGAGTATGAGAGTTATTTTTGCCTCCTTTCGATCGATTTTTTTAATATGCCCAGTAAGATCTTCCTAAGTCTTGGTCATATGTCTTAACATTTTTTTCTGTGATTTAAAAGGATGAACAACCACCAAATTGTGCATCTTCTAAGGCATCCATTTCAACTTTCATCACCAGAAGATCAAAAAGGGTTCCAAGTTCCATACTCGGCCTGGCACAGCTCTATTTGTTCTTGGAATTAAGTACAGTTTAACCCTGAACAACACGGGTTTGAACTGCTCAGGTCCATGTTTATGTGGATTTTTAAAAATACAGTGCAGTATACTGTAAATGTAACTTCCTTACGATTTTCTTAATGTTTTCTCTAACTTAATTACAACAATACAATTTATAATACATAAAATTTAGAAAATACATGTTAATTGACTATGTTATTGTTAAGGTTTCTGATAATAGAAATTAAGGCTTCCATTGCTTAACTACTTAGAATTAGTAAAGTTTTGGGGGAGTCTTTGTCATGTGTGGAATTTTGGCTACATAGGAGGTAAGCACCCCCAGCCCTTTGTTCAAGGGTCAGCTGTCCTGTGAGCCGCCGAGCCTGCTTTCTGGCTCATGGTACCACCCAGCCTGTTCACACACCCGCCGGAGCGGTGTGGATCCTTACTGCTTCCTGTCTTTGACTTTGTGTTACCCAAGGATTCTGGAACTGTCCTTCTCTAAACGTGAAAGTGTTTCCTTTCCGTCCTGCTGAAATTCTCTTCTTGCTATTTTATGCGGGAAGACAACCATCCCTAGTCGAATATTTGATGACTTCACCTGGTGTAGTCAGTGGCAGCTGCTGCCCTGCATCCAGATTTTAACAGCTACTTACCAACCTCTGATCAGAGGACATGTGGGCAAAGACTGCCTGTATTGTTTCCTCAATAGCAGTGACCTTCCGCCACTGACCAAAGCAACAGAATTCATTCTCATGAGGTTCGGGAGGCCAGATCCTTGAAACCCAGGTGCGGGCAGGGCTGGTTCCTCTAGTGTGTGGGGGCTGCTGCCAGGCCTGTGGATACAGGGCTCTCGGGCTCCTCCCTGCCGTGGAGAGCCCCATCCTGTCTTAACAGCCCTAATTGGCTTGTGACCCTCCCTATTCCGGTGTGACCTCATCTTAACTCTTTCCAAACGAGGTCACATCCCCAGCTTCTAGGGGCAGCGCTTGGACATTTCGGGAGATACAGTTCAGCCTGCCCCGTGACCCCTGCCCCCCATCCCACTCCCGAACACGGCCTCTCCCGAGGCAGGGATGAAACATGGTCTGGAGGAGCTGGGCTGCCCTGTGCCACCGCCTCACTGAGCAGGAGCCGTAAGGGTTTGATGCTATAGAGCTCACCCTGCACACTGGCCCTTTTGTAGGAGTGATCTTTGAGAAGTAAAAGCTGAATAGCGATACATAAGCACCAATTTCATGCATCTTATTTATAAAACAATTTGCCCTCTAAAATCTGTCCTCTAGAATTTTTTTTTAATGAAGAAAATTAAGGGCTTAGAATATAGAAACAAATTTCATTCGCACCTTCCTCTCCTGCTGACCTTGTCTTCCAGCCCAGTGTGTCTGTCCTGCATTTATCTGGGGGTTCTCAGAAGCCCTGGCTTTTCCGATAATTCCCGCTTCATCCTGAGTTTTTGCTCTGAACACACCTGGCTGCTGGTGCTACAAGTACCCTGTTTGCCAAGAACACCATCCCAAATGCAGCAGGCACCCCAGCAGTGTCCCTCCCAGCTCCCAGAGCTCAGGATGCGCTGAGCCGCTGCTGCTCTGCTCTCAGGCCGGGCAGCTCTCCGGCCCCTGGACCAGAGCAGGAGGGCCATCACCCTCCTGGCTCTGTGCCGGTTGGTTAAGGGGCTTGTGCACCAGCCTGCCCAAAGACTGTGATCTGTGCTCACTGCCACCCAGTTCTTACTGAAAATCTGCTGGTTGCACAAAATCATCCTGGGTCCACAAGGGATATTAGGGAAGAGAAGGAGCTTCTACCTGCTCAATGCATGGCCAGTAAAGAAGGGCTTAAGTTGATAATAGGACTCGGCGAAGGCATGTAGATACAAGGATGACATCTAAATTATGGTTATTGCTTGACTTACCTAAAACAGCCTTTGGAACTTCTTACCCCAAAAGCAAGCTCACTCCTCCCGTGTGGTGTCTTCTGGATGTTGGGGGCAGGCGGACCCCTGCTGTAGAACGGCAGCTCCTCCACATCTGCAGGCAGCACTGCCTGCCTAGCCCTCCTGCAGGTGCTCCTGTCCCCACAGGGTCGTTCAGGGCCTAACTGTCCCCAGAAACCCTCTGCCAGCTCAGCTGCAGAAAGGGCCGCCAGCCCAGGACCACGTTCTCACCATCTCCCAACACACCCTTCACTGTAGGTCAGCAATGGTGCAGGCCTCCGGGATGAGCACTTCACAGAGTTACTGGTGTTTGGTTTCCTCCAAAACTGCTCCAAGTGTAATTTCCACAACGAGCTGGAGCTGCTGGGCCACGACCTGCCCCAGCATGATCACCTGCAGGAGGAGCAACAGGATGAGCTGCAGACAGACGGCAACCGGTGCAGCTACCTGGGGAGGGAGGAGAGAGGTAGGCGCCCACCCCACCTGCCTCCTCCCCAACACAGGCCTCTGCTGTCACCAGTAACACTTGGGGAACTGGTGTTGGGAGGGTGTTGGCTGGTTGCCTGCAAGGTTGCTGTTGGGCTGGGTTTGATCATGGGGTGGAGCTGGCCTGGCCAAGCTGGTCAGGTGAGACCCACTGGGTTTCTGTATATGGACTGTGCCTCTTTCTGGTTCCTTTGCATTCACCTCCAGTGTGTTGTGGCTCATGAATCTCCACAGTAACTAGGGCACTGAAGTATGCTGGGCTCGTTTCCACTCGAAACAGGCCCAGAGAGGGTGATGTTCCCGAGGTCAAACAGTGGGCATGACTGGGCTGGGCCGCAGCTCCCAGGTTCCTGCCTGTTCCTTGCCCTCATCCTGGTGCGCCCCCACAGACAGGAGCCTCCTCAGCTTCCCCCTGAGCCTATGGCTGCTACTGTATTGAGGATCAGCCACTCCCCGATTTGGGCCTGGACGGGTGCTCAGCAGTGTGCATATCAGGGTCTCGCGAGAGACTTCCCCAGCTGCCCACGTTCTGACATACACCCGCGCCCACTCTAGCGAATAGGACGAAATCATAATGCCTGGGAGGCGCCTGGCATGGGGGGTTGCACTGCCCTCTGGTGGCTGTGGAGGAGACCAGCAGCCGACCCAGCCTCTAGCTGAGTCCAGTCAGTGGTGGGGATGTGGCCTGAGGTCTGTATTGGCCAGAGTAGGCCAAACACGGTCTCTGCCCCAGAGTCCCGCCGGCGTCTTCCGGCCGGCCCTAAACTGGAACAAGAGCTCCTGGGCCCCTTTGGGAAGGTTTAGGAGGGGGTGGGACCAGGACTGACTCTGCTGTTGGCTGCTGCAGGAGTAACCGACGGTAGGCTGTTGCCCTGGCAGTCCTGCGCCCCTCTTCACCATCCTGCCCGTAGACTGCAAAGCCTGGGGGACTCGTGGCATTTGTGGGAGCGACTTGACTGCTCTGGTGGAAAGCTGGCATGTACTTGACAGGATTTGGAAGCAAACAGCAGAGTAGCTCTGGCTGCTATGGTGAATTCATGCACTGAGCTGGACCCAGATGAGTCCGCTAGGACTCGCCACATCGCTGGGAAAGGCGGAGAGCTCAGGGGGTCGGGCACAGTCAGCTCTGTGGAAGGACGGCAAGGCAGCGATCTGCTCGCCGGGTCAGGAAAGACCTGGTGCAACCGCGTTTGGACCCTGGTGCACCCACAAGGGTCAGTGCAGCGTGGCTCTTTGGAAATGGGGAAGCAGGATTGGCAGCAGCCTAAGCAGAAACCTGAAGCTGGGAAGGCCAGGCCTTAAAAGGTGCTGAGAGTCATGGAGTTTGGCGGGAGTGCTTAGAATAGCAGGGGTTGAGGTCCAGGGTGAGTTACGGTTAGGTTGGCCTTGTCTCTGGAGCAGAAGTCAGTGTGTGACAGGTTCTGGTAGAGGGGGCTGCGGTCTGCGTCCAGAGGGGAGCTGTAGGACGCAGTGGCGGGCGGGAGGGACCAAGAGGATTGAGGACTGCGTAGCGGCTGCTGGAGGCTGGGGGGAGGATGGGCATTCCACTGGGTAAATAAGCCCGAGGGCAAGTGAGCACAGGAAAAACTCGATGTAAGGGAAAGTGCAGTAGCTGCCATTGCCGGAGCCTCTCCAGGGGCTGCGGGCAAGCGCCCCTGCAAATTACTGGGCGCCATGGGACGCCTGGCAGTGTTTGGGGGCTGTGAGATTGGCAGCAACAAAACAGATAAAAGCACTAGAGCTCTTATGGAGCCGGAGTGCAGCCAAGTGGGGCGCACATGATGGCGTGGGGGCCTCGGGGCTGCGGGAGTGGGCGGCGGCCATGGCAGATGGCAGCGAGTAGCCCTGAAGGGATTGAGAACCTTCTGCCCAGGGGCTGTTGTAGCCAAAGGATGGGGCTTTGGGACAAGTTGGGACGGTTGGTCCAGGGAGGCCAGGGGCATGTGGGCCTTCTGGGCTGTGGTGGGGACAGGGTTGTTTAGTGAGGTGGCTGGGGAGGATGGAGGGCAGAGGGCCAGCTCCCGCTTGGTCTACCTGCAGAGCCTGGGTCCCAGCGGCTTCCGCAGCTGGCACCTGGACGGTGGCAGGTGTGGCACTGCCTGCAGTGGCTGTGGCCCTGCTCACAGCTCCACAGCCTGTGGGCAGGGATCCCAGCATGACGGCCCCTCCGGTAGGCTGGTGGGGCGTCTGTGCAGGGCAGGAGGCCTGCCTCTCCAGCCGGGCTTTGGCTTGGTCAGGCGCTTTTCCTGGACCCAGCCCCCTGCTGCCCTGAACTACAGGTCCAGTCTTCTCACTGCAGCTCTGGTGCAGCCTCACAGGCTCAGCCGGGACCACCAGGGTGTGCTGTGGAAGCGGGGACATCCCTATCCCTCCCTTTTCTGGTCTGGGTGGAGCAGGGCGAGGGGCGGACAGGGCCATTATCTGAATCCACTCTCTGCTGCCCCTGCCTGAACATGCAGATTCTGAGAATCTAGAAGAGATCATCCAGGATATTGCCAGGCAGCTCGCCCAGGTTGGGGACAGGATGGACCGCAGCATCCACCCAGCGCTCGTGGACCACCTAGCAGTGCAGTTCATGAATGTGAGCCTGTTGGAGGAGGTAGGTGAGAAAGCCCACCAGGGCCTTTTCTGGGTTAGGTAGGAAGCGTGAAGCCTTTTTCACATGTCATTTGAACCAACAAGGTCTGTCTCCTGTCTTCTGCCAGACAGACTGATGCCCACTGATGTGACTCTGCTCATGAGGATCGGAAGCAGAAGCATGGCATGGTTAACTGTCCTGTAGAAGGGTTAAGTTACATGGCATCTAGGAAACCTGAACCTTTAAGTCAGTCAAGAGTTTGAGGACAAAAGTGTCCAAAAAGATTAACAAAATGTGTATGATACTTCCAGAAATAACATCCTTTCTTCAATTGTAGGGAGTTGAATAAAAACGCTACTTACCCATGTGTGCAAAAAGGTGAAACAATCTTGACTTCATGGTTATAAGCAGGGCAGATACTCGCAGAGCTTCACCCCTTGCCAGGCCCTGGGGCTAAAGGGATGTGTCTAAGGCACTCTGTCCTTCCTGAGGAGCCGTCTTGGGGGAGATGCCCCAGGCTGCCAGTGCATGACCCCAGGAGGTCAGAGTAATAGAATTTCCCTGCTCTTGACTACCAGCCAGAGGTGTGTATAGGTGCCCCGTTACCTAGAAGTTCTTTCAGCTTCCAGGACTCGGCAAGTCAAGCCCCCGGCTCCCAGGCAGGCTTGTCCCTGCCCTGGTGACCTCGGGTGCTTTCTAGTGGCTGTCAGAATCGATGAGCATCTAGCAGTGACCTGTCCACAGGCTCACTTAATTCTTCACAGGTGTCCATGAGGCTGAGGGTCCTGTGTGGGTGGGATGCCACCTCAACCCCTTTGTCCCCCTTTCTGAGCTAGGCCTGCACCAGTAAGGTTGGCCTAGGACATCTTGGTAGTCAAATGTTAAGTTTAAACTTTAAATATACCATTAGAGGCAGATTGTGACTTCATCTGTAGTCTCTCTTTAGTGTCTAATGTGAATGCATGCTGCTCAGGAGGCCAGTATTTGGTCCATGAGTCTCCCTCCAGGGAGTGACCTGTCTCCCCTTCTCATTGCCTCTCAAATGATTGTTTCACATTCTGTCCCCCAGCCTACTTAGCTGCTGGGTAAGTACTTGCCTCTGAAATGAAAGCTCGCTTCTTCATATGTAGCATCAAAGGGCTGTTTCCTATCAGATGGGAGCCTATTAGTAAACTCGACTCTGTGTGACCTTCTGTCTTGGCCCCTGCAGGACAGAACAAGGTGCCTCTCTGCTGCTCTGGAGGAGGTCATGCAGACCTGCCCTAAAGACCTGGAGGAGGAGAAGACCGTGCTTCTGTTGGCCATGATGCTGGCCAAGAAAGTGGCTGATCACACCCCAAGCCTGCTCCGTGGCGTCTTTCGCACAGCAGTGAATTTTATTAACCAGAACCTGTTCACCTATGTGAGGAACTTAGTCAGAAATGTAAGAACCAGGCTGTCACCTCCTCCGCAGTTGAGAGTCCTCCTGGTCTCTGCCTGCCCCTACGCTGTCTGCCCCCAGGGGCTGGAGCCTGGCAGAGCTCTTTGCCACAGGCTTCTTTCATCCCTTCTCTGCTTCTGGTGACTGAGCCCTGAGGCAGGCTCCACCTTCCTGCTCAGGTGGAAAGGCTGGGTTTGCCTTCATGAGCAAGAAAGTTATGTGGCAGAAGGTGGTGATGAACACCTGATGTCCTCTGGAGCTCTACCAGTTGTATTTTTAAGACATGCTACTGTCAGAGGGATGGCAAAGGCTTCATACTGTTGATGTAGTTGCAACCTATGGTGTAGACATGTTGGGTATAGACGTGTTGGGTACAGATGTGGGGCTGAAGAAGTGGTGGGATAGCCCCAAGCTGAGCTTCCTAGGTCTGCTCTCAACCTCCTGTCACAAAAATAGCTAAATTTTAAAACATGCTTTCCAAGAACGATGAGGGGGAGAGAGACCACAAGAATAGTCAGGGAGGGAAGGAGCTATCTCTAATCTTCCCCTGGAAACATCTGCCCCGTCACTAGGCAACTGGAAGTCAGTCTAGCCACCGCTGCAGGGGAGGGCAGGCCTCAAGTCAGCCGCCTCATTTCACAGACCCGAGTGGGAAGTTAGTGGATAGAGCTGGTCTGTAAATGTGAAAACATTAGTGCAGGTGTGGGATTTTGTGTCAAAAGCAGTGCTCAGGCATCTCACCCTCTTAACATTTACTGAAAAGCCTTAACAGCATTCCCTATGTGCCGTGCTGCGATTACACAGGGATTTGAAAATAGAACAGATATAAATCTCAAATCAGGGGTTAAACAAGCTGATCTCAGCAGCTGGGAAGGCTTTTTTGGCCATTGCTCCCATGCCTTGAAAAGGATGTGGGGGTGTGGGGTGGCAGGGCTCCAGAGTGGGTTTTTGCACAAACCGCAGCTTCACTTCTGTAGGTCAAGTACTGAATCCCGGTTCGCAGAGTAGACTGACTGACTGTTTTCCTCTCTCCCTCTAGCGGATGGACTGAGTAGTTGACTCCATAGAAGCATGTCTGGTTAAAACTTGACACGGCGACAAGCAGCATGCCAGCCTCCAGCCGACATAGAGCCCTGGCCATTTAAATGAAGGTTTCAGAGAAGATGGGCATGAGATGATAGCTATTTATTTCTATTTTAAGGATGATGTTTCAAAATACTTGAATGAAAATGTCCAAATGAACACACTGACCGAGTTTCATGCCATCTTCTAAGTCCACCGCACATGTGCCTTTATCTTACTTCAACTGTACAGCTCCTCACTTCAAATTAAATTTTAAAAAGCAGATTGTAAGGCAGAAGGAAAAACACAATTTTTTTTGTTAAAAAACTTTACTGTTAAAGTGCACCCCTGGGGCAGACCTTGGAGCGGGCAGTGTCGTGTGAGGGGAGCAAGGATTAGAGGAGGCATTTCGAGGAGGGTGCCCATGCCTCCAGCTCATGCGAACTCCTCTCGAAGGAACATCGTAATACTAAGGCAAAGGGGAGCAAGGATTAGAGGAGGCATTTCGAGGAGGGTGCCCATGCCTCCAGCTCATGCGAACTCCTCTCGAAGGAACATCGTAATACTAAGGCAGCAACAGTCTTCCTTTTTCAAAACTGAAGGGTACCGGTTTTGTACTGGTGCGTGGTACTTTTAAACAAGGAGGAAAGGTCATCTGTTTGACATTTTTCAACTTGATTTCCCCTTTTTTTTTTTTTGAGACAACAAGAACTATAGGTGATTGATTAAAAGGTGTGAAGGGGACTTAAGGGCCCATGGCAACCACAGTTTCCAAAGTCAGGTGACTAAATGCACTTTTTTTTTTTTTCCTAAGCAGTCCTGACTTTGATGATAACCGTTTTAAGGGGTGGAGTACCAGAAGCTGCTGTGTACACCCTGTGGGGAATGTATGCTAAGAATCTTTTATTTTCACTTCTCCACCATGTTGTTCAGCTTGCCTCTGCCTAAGAAGCTGCAGCTGGAGAGAACAGACTTCTAGGCAGAAAAGAGGAGAAAGAACAGACTTAAAAATTCAATTACTGAGGAGAGGATCCTAGTGACGTAGTCAGAATACAAGTAATAAACCAGGGAGAGCTTCCATGAGAAACAGTGTGACACTGGGCTGTTCTTCCCAGCATGTTTCCTGGAATTCCCTTTAAGAGAAGTATGGTGATGGCTGGGTCTGTACCACACACAGTACCTTCAACAGCAGTGCTCTTGTTACTGTGAACAGGAAGGCTCTGAACCAGAATAATTAGGTACTAATAAATACTTTGTTACCAAAATAGTCTCCAGTTCCTTGAGAGAAATTGGATCAGAAGATAAAAATGTACATCATTAAGCATTAAATACACTACACACTAGGGCTGGGTCTGTCTGGTACCTGCAGGCCCTTCTGTCTTGGCCTTACAGATACTAAAAGTAAACAGATGTTGCATGCAATATAAGAAGGACCACCATTTGGAAATAAATCTTCCAGTAACACTACTGAGGGATTCATATCACAGTGAAAACAAGTTGAGTCACACATATACACCAACCATCCATACATGTGTCAATGAAACCAGATTCTCACTAGGGATAGAGATTTTCTTCCAGAAGGAGCAATTTAAATACAAGTGGTCAACTTGGAGCTAACTGCCAGTGTTTTGCTTAAATTAATACAGTAGGCCACCATTTTGATGCAGTCTGTACACACATTTTGATGTAAATTTTTCCAAACCAAGTTAGATATACTTTCTTGGTTGTAAAGCAAGATTATTACCTCCCTTCCCCACTCCAGCATTATAAAAAGATTGCACCATATCAGAAACACGTTCCGGTCTGTAGTACATCACAGCCGTGATGACTTGGACGTGTCCTGGGAACGAGTATTTTACACTGGCAACAATCCTTGTGGATGTAACTGAAAAGTGACATGAATTCAGATGATGTGTTTCATCCTGTTTTTAAAATATTTGAATCAAATTATCAGAATTCCTTGGTTAAAGTTAAAAGATGTTTGGTATATGTGTGTAAGGTGGGTCTGACTGTCTGAGCTCACGTCTGGGTCCGGTGTTCCCTGCCGAGATGCATGAGCCTACAAAGGCTCATCATAACCTGCTTTTATTTGCTAACATGTCATTAGCTGTGCTGACTGGGAACCCGGACATGGAGTGTCCACTGGACATTAGTGTTATATTTTTGTACCTGAAAGTAAAGCAGGTACGTGTATACTTGTGACTGCAAGAGTCCCCTCCTAAGTCACAGGCACGAGGGACCACATGAATGGCGAGACTGTCAGTTACCTTCAGCTCATTTTATTGTGGCCCTCAGTGTGTTCTCCCCAACACAATGCTGCCAACATGAAGCACAGTCCACAGATTTGAATTCTGTTCCTTCTCCCAAAGTTGGCTAAAAGGCAGAAAGGAAGGAAAAAGGGGAGCCAGAATAACAGGAATGCACGGAATATGTTGGCACTGTGGGAGGGGAGCCGCCAGGACTCCACGCGGAAAGGAGCCAAGCTGCCGGGGTGAGGCACGAGTACTGACGCGCAAGGTGGCCCCTTTCTCTGGCATTTTGAGATGAGAGCAGCAGACCCAGTAGGTTGAATTCAGTTAACAATGACTTAGGAAAGACGAGGCACTTTGAATCCAAGGAATGAAAGGCTGAGACAGGAAGAAGCCACCCAGAGACAAGCCCCACCTGTCCTCTGGGGTGCAGGCCCCATCTGACAGCGCACTGATGCTCCTAGAAATCTCAGAACAGCCCAATACTCCAGATACAACAGGGAAGACCAAACTGCCTCTTAGTCCTAGAAAAGGCAGCAAGACAGCCTGAAAATTTTGGAGCACTTGATCTGCTAACAGTACACTGATTAGCCAGTTTCTTCTAGTGGATGCAAATAATACTCAGGGTGGTAGAAGCGGGCAGAACTGCTATGAAGTTCCCCCTTAGGAGAGGTGAGAACAGGCCAAGAGCCACGGTGTGCCGGCTGCTGCGTCTTAACTTGTTACAAGGCCTGGATGCCTGGCGAGTATCCCTGAGAGCAGTTTCCACCTGAGCTGTCGCAGCTGCCTGGCCAGGGCTCCTGCAGGGTAAGCACAAGCGTGTGGAGGGCTCTATGCTTTCAAAGTGGGGATCATGGCAAACAGGCAGACTTAAGTCTTGTGCAAAGAAAGGAAAGGCAGGATGTAGTATTTTAGTAACATGACATGACAGTTTCCAGCTGGCTGTGCGTCCTATAATGAAGTGACTAAAAAAAAACAGGGACAGAAGGAGAAGGCAGTACAGCACGGAGACGAGTCATGACTCCACAGCATCTTACTACGCTGATGCACAGTGACTGCAATGGAGGAATGAGGATTTGATATGGGAGAATGTTAAAACCACAATGTTGTTCATGTACAACCTTCATAAGGTTGTATACCAATGATACTTTAATTTAAAAAATGTGACTGAATTTCAAGAAATTGGTGTTCTACAGCCAAGGTGGCTACTAACTTCCCATCCCCTAGTGTACGGGGGTAAAACAGAAGGCTCTCACTGGGAAGCCACCTGGTGTCACTTCTGAGCAAGCTGCATGTGCAGCTGAGCCGGGCCACCCCTTCTGAGTTGGGACCCTCTGAGTGTAATGAGGTATCCCCCACTCAGTTCCACAACCTATGGCATAGGCAGGGGAGAAGGAAAATGGGCAACTAGAAAGAGGGAAGGGGAAGGGGTAATGCCAAATAGTTTCTTAAATATTAACTAGGAAAGCTAATGAAAGATTGGTGCCAGTGAAAACTGCTGTTCTGTTAACACAGAGCATGGCTTGTGTTTGAAGGGAAAGCATCTGGTGTTAATCAGAAGCTGGGAACCACTCTGGACATACTCTTCCTGCTTGCACACTTGGTATCTAGACTAGATGGGCCTTTGCAAAATCTAGAAGGGGCTCCCCCACTTCCAGGGCACAGTATGTGGGCATGAGCTGCCCTTGTGCAGCATGTAGTTGGCACAACCATTTGCTGAAAGCCTGCCAATACTGCTTTGCAAGGTGTGACCTAGAGTCAGGAAAATTCAAATCACTGGCTTGCTTCTCATGCTAAAAGACTAGAGATGTTATTAAACTGATTTAGTTTCACTGCCAAGTGTGAACAGGGTGAGGGTTGGGGGATAAGGACTATGAACAGAACTGGGAAGGGCAAGTAAGGGACATGAGAGCACTAGCGCAGTCTCTAGCACCCTGAGCTCAGCAGAATTTGCAAAGCTTAAGGGTACCCACGCTTTCTTAGGACATGGAGCTCTACTATGGAAAGTATGCACCTTCACACAGCCCTCTCCCAGCTGGATGGTATCACAGGCTGTTGCTACGGGAGGACTTGGTCCTCCAGAGAAGAGGCATTTTTCTGGCATCAAGTGTGTCGCTGAGACGTTAAATGATACATGGCAGGCCCGCCCTTATCTGCAAAAAGACATCCCAAGATCCCCCAGGGATGCCTGAACTTACACAGTACTGGATCCCATATGTACTGTTTTTTGCCAGTACATATGTACCTGTGCTGAGGTTTTATTTACAAATTAGGCACAGTAAGAGAACAATAATGATAAAATGGAGCGATTACAACTAGACTGATAAGCTTTGCAAAGGGCTCTCAGAATATCGCTGCGCTTGCTCCCCCTGTGCGGAGGTGGGGCCACAGCCTGGCCACATGGCCTCCTGCTTGTGAGGGAACCTGTGGTACCAAGTGATAGGCCGCCTACAGGCTCGCTGGAAATATGGTCATCACCTCAAATCCTTTGAAAGACAAGTTTGTGTAAAAAGATGCAAGAAGTTAAGAGGAAGTGGAAAAAATGTTCTTACCTTTAATTTCTATGAAACACTTCAAAATAATTTTAAAAATTCCATGGGTATGGCATTTGTCCACATGTCATGCCCTTAGGGAAAAAGGCAAGAAGCCGGCAAGACTTTTATGTTATTACAGGGAATTAGCACAAAGGCTGAGGAAATTGATTTCCTCAGGAAGATAATGGTAGCTGTGCTTCAAAGTACCATGTCTCTGGGTTCACTGGTAATTCCCCCAGAACACACCTATGTCATGGTTGCATCTGATATAAAACATGGGCAAACAGGTGAGGAGTTACCAAAGATGACTCTGGGAAGTGACTGCCTGAGCCAGATGGCCAACAACTGCTTTCCAGCGAGAGTGCTTCCTAGAGGGTGGTGGTGGCAGCAAGTCCCTGAGGCACACTGCAGACACTGACTTCCATGGGCCCGGGACTGTTACCACTTTAATACACAGGACAGAGTGACGTCCTTTAGTTCTAGTACGTTTCTCTAGAAACCCTCACTGGCTTTTTGCCAAGTGATCACAAATCACTACATTCAGTAGAGCAGGTAAGGTTCTGGAGGACCTAACAAAGACTCTTCCTCAAAGTTCAAAGAATGGGGATAACCAGGGTGACCTTAATTCTGCATTTGAGTTCCATAATCAAGTTGGTTACTCTTGAATCTTTCCTTAACCTGACACTTAGATGTTATAAGTCAGGAGGCAGGAAGGAATGGCCTCCTACCAGCCCTCGCCAAAAACGGGGGGGCTAAAAAGTAGTAGCAAAAACTAGGAGCTGCTGTCCGAAGCAGCCCCTGCTGGCATGCGCCATCCACAACCACAGGCAGAGTGCAAGGACTGAGAAGAGGGCCCTGGCCCGGCTGATGACTCAGGACTGATGCCCCATGTAGAGAAGCCGATGGAAGACACCACCTGTCACCATTTCCCAGCACAGTGCACCAGATGGCTCTGGGTGAATGTTCAACAGAGGGCACAGCGAGGCAGCATCCAATGGCAATGTGCCACCTGGGTGGGACACACCTGAGGACCTAGTTACAGACCCTTTAGTGGCTCAGAAATGAACCTGGTTCCTGTTCATGCTAAATGTGTCCTGCCAGTGCAGTGGAGGATAGTTTAAAAGTGTGAACACTAGAAGGAAAGAATTTTATTCTAAAAGGGAAAATCACAGTGACTCACCACGATGCTCTGATGCCGTGCAAACACTAGTGCAGCAAAAGAACACAGAATGCCCTGATGCATACCTCAGAGCCTGTGGGGAGAAAGGGTTCGCCACATGGATCTCATGCACCCTCATCTCCAGTGGTACTAATCAAGGTATGCCAAAACCCTTAAAAATATCGCTTAAAAGTGGGACACCAGAACTCAGAACACAAAGCTACAGTGCACAATAAAGCTCAACAGACAAAGACTTCAGACCCTTTCTTGGCCAACTTTTAAACAGTATGTTGCATCTGGGAGATTTAATTTCAAGAAATAAATTTTTAAAAGCACATTCAAAATATCATTTTGATGATAAGGATAGACAAAGTAATTTTTTTACAAATTTCAGGATCTAAAAAGTAATTTATGTTTCTAAGGTAAATCTGGGGTGACCTATACCAAGCATGCTGTGTCCTACATCATGATACTATGACCCTCAGGCAGGAAAAGACACAGTCCCACCCACTTAAGGACAGGCTCAGTGAGGGGAAAGGAAATCGTGCTGGTTCTCCAGCACATACAGGTCAGGGTGCTTAGGGTTTGGCTGTGAAGGGTTTAGGAAGCAAGCCTGCAATCGCAGATCTGAAAGCCACACTGGATTTCAAGGGCAGCCTCAAGAATTCAAACTGTTTTCCCACTTTTTGTTGCAGTAATATTTAGGAGACTTTCTGTATTTAATCAGTTATGATTCAACTCTTCTGGAAGCCCAAGTGTGAAAATCCTTACCACATGGCAAAAGACCACAGAGGAGATGGCTGACCAGCAAGACGGGCCAGATGTGAGACAGCTGCAGCAGGCCTGGCAGGCACTGGGGCCCCCAGCCGCGCCGCAGCCCACGGGCAGGCCGCACCCGGAGGCCCGGCAGGGGCCCCAGGGGTCCTCTACGCCGCCTGCTTCTGAACGACACAGACCTCTAGCCGGACCAGCTGATTGCCCTCGCACTCCCTGGCAGGGGACTCTGGGTCTCTCTTATTTTGTAGTGATTTTCTAAAGAGGACTAAAGGCAGCATCTTTACAAGGGAGGCTGCGAGGCGCATGGGGGACTTGCCGGTGCACAGCAGGCGCTCTCCCGGATGCTGGGAGGCACGGGGGTTGGGGAGGAACGGGGCGGTACCTGAGGCAGCTGGGGCACAGCGGTGGGCACCCTCGTGCTACAGGCCTGAGAAGGTGAGGAGGACAAGAGAGTCAAAACAGCATGTTCATCGGGAAGATGAAAGACTCCAAGGGCGAAACACGTCAGTAGCTAAAGAGCCCACAGCTAAACCCTCCTGCCTGGGACTTTGTATCCCGGATTCTCCCAAATTAACCCTCTCCCCACAAAGCTGTGGATCTCAACATGAAGAACGCCCCCAAGAGACATTTGGCAGCGCTGGGAGATTGTCTCGGTCATCACAACCGAGGGAGAGGCCGCCGCTGGCACTTGGTAGGGGCCATGGGCGCTGCCACACACCATGCAGAGCACAGACAGCCCCCACCCCGCCCAGGAGCGTCAAGAAGTCAGACGCCGAGGCGGAGAAACCCTATTTTGGGAGGGATACTTTACTCTCAAGATTCTGAATCTAGCGTAAGCCCAGGCCCTCGGAACTTAGAACCAGACAAATGTGAACACCCCCCACCTCAACGCTCTAACGTGTGGGCCAAACCCACTGCCTTGGCGAGCAGCAGCAGCCCATTACCCAGGGCTCCACCAATGTCCAGATGCAGGCAGTTCAAATTCAGTCCATCCAGCTGACACCTCCTGTCCTTTCTGTCTTCTTCCTCTTTGGAAAACCCTGCTACTTCTTCCTCAGAGCCAGCGCTACCCCAACAGCCACTGCCAGGAGGGCGAGCGCAGCGGCCCCCCCAAGCAGCAGTATGGCCCTGCCCTCGGACAGGGCGACGGCCCGCCCCTCTCCGGCAGGGTGCTCCCCCGCAGCGGGCTCACTCGCGGCTCTCAGCCCCACCACCGAGGTCTCGTCGCCACCGAGCTCCGGGAGCCCAGGCGGAGCAGGGCCGGCTTCCTCAGCTGCCATCACTTCCAGGTTGGGTTCCTTCGCCTCCAGCAAGGCTGTGGCAGGGGCGCGCAGAAGCAAGGGCGCAGGGCCTCTGGGGAGCGGCTCCTGCAGCTGCCCCGCTGGGGAGACCCCGGGCACTGCGGCCACCTCTTCCACGCCCTCTGGGACTTCCTCTTTCTCCACGTGCACGATGTCAGAATTGGACGAGTTGTTCTCGCTCTTTTCTCCAGCCCCGTTGCTATCTAAGCTTTTGACCTCTTCCGGATCCATTGCGATCTGCTGCCAGGACTCGGGACCTAGGGACACTGGTAGGCTTTCTGTGTGCCAGCTCTGGCTGGCTGACAGCGAAACTGGCAAGCTCTCCGACTGCCACGAAGTGGTCACGGTTGGGGACTCTGGAGGGCTGACTTGTCCAGAGTTGTCACTGGGCAGGATATAAATGTCATTGCTGTCTTCTGCAGCAACTCCAGGGTACTCTTCTTCCTCTGCCTCAAGATTAAAGACAGTGCCCTAGAAAAGGAGGAGGAGAGTCAACACAAAGAATGGTAAATATATTTAAAATAAATGCAAATCTGGACAAAAAAATTCCCAAACTGAAGTTCCAGGATAAAGTACACTGTTTAAGCCACCCTTTGTAGTTTCTGGATTGAATGCATTTACTTGTAGACCAATGCAGAGGAAGAATTTTTAACAAAACAGTCCTCTGACCAGTTTCCTTGAAGCTACAAAAAATAAAAAAGTTAATTTATATTCAATTCAATTTATATATAGTCAATGAAATAATGAAGGTAAAACAGCAGAGAAAACAAAGGCAAGAAGAACCTTGCTCCCAGGGAATCCATCCCTTGGCAGGTGGAGCTGTACCCTGGCTTCCCTTGGCGGAGCTGGAGGGGGCAGCGAGATGGCTGGCAGCCTCAGCATGACTGCAGAACAGGTCGGAGTCCCTGGGAAAAGCAGGGTGGAAGACTCCATAATGGCAAAAGCACAGAAGAATAAAAGGGGAACAGCAAGTAGCCTGGTTTCCTTAGTGCACGGTGGCCACAAAGAACATGAAGTTCAGCTAGGGCGGGACAGAGAGTTAAGAAATACAGACAGTCCAGTAGGAAACGACTGGGCCACCAAACAGCAGTGCCACTTCAGACACCCCGACAGCAGCGGCAGGTGAGGGACGTGACAAATGCAGTGCTCCTGCTTATTTCCTTAGCCGGAGTCTACATAAAAGCCATGTAAGGAGAGAGGAGTGGTCTTCAAATCACATTTCACAGTTTAATTTAACAGGGCCTATCAGATGCTGTGTTATGTGCCAGTGTTATAAGAACGATGAGGCCCAGTTTTTGTTCTTAAAAAAATTCACTGTCTAGATGTGAAGATGACACAGGAATAAATAACCTCAAAACGATACAGTGAGCTTTAAGAAAGCTGTATGCATGGGGGGCTAGGGGAACCCAAAGGTTAAGATATGACCAGAAGGCAGGAAGAGAAGCAGGAGAGTGTTGTGACATCACAGAAATCTATAGGAAGTTGTACAATGTCTGAATGACACTGAGAAATGCTGTGGAAAGCCTGAACAGGACATGTAAAGCAAATTAATTCCCACTTAGGTGATTATAGCCACTATTTATATTAAGTAGGGTAATTTTACCTTTCAATCACGACCAAGAACTTTCTATTTACATGAAGGTTCTACTATAAATCAGTAAATAGTCCCTCCATCAGCTACACCAAGAGAAGGAACCAGGAACACACCTGAACAACCACACTATCGTATGGTCTACATTCTGTCTCAGTTCAACCCCTGCTTCAATTTCCTTAAGAGGGCATGGGAGGCATCAGAGAGAGCTTATGAATGTATATGAGCAGAGGCAAAACAGAACAATAATTAAAAATACAGTATTTATAGTAAGAAAGAACTGGTTTGAATTCCAGTTCCACCACATACCAGCTGTGTGAATGTAAGCACCTTGCTTAGCCTCTTAAACTTCAAATTCTTCATAAATAAAAAGGGGAAGACTGGCTTGATAAGGCTGTTACAAAACTTAGATGCACTATTTGTGGTGCTCAGCATGGTGCTTTACACAGTGACCAATCAATTATGCTATTTTTCCGTTGTTTCTGTTGTCATTTTTATTGTTTTTGGTGGCAGGATGGCAGGACAAAGGGCTACTGGCATCTAGACAGAAAAATTTTTAAATAAAAGCAATTTGAAACAAAACCCTTCCTTGGGTAGAGAAATTAACAAAATTTTCCCTCCTCCATCATCTCTTCTAAAAAACAAATATCAAAAGCTGGAAGTAAAATATTTCTTTAGAAATTATATTATACATTGAACCAATATAGGGGTCGTTCTATGGGGCAGGATCACATGAGAGTGCATATTACAGCACCTCTTCAGCACAGAGGTCAGGGCGCCCTTCTGCCCATGTCATCGGCAGTTCTGACTCCCCCAGAACTTAACTACTATTTGCCTACTTTTGACTGGAAGCGCTGACAACATGAATGAACAGTCAGTTTAACACATACTGTAACAGTAAAATAATGTAAAATGCACATGGGGCTCTGCTGCTTCCTAGGACTTGAGATCAGTGGGTATTCAATAATCTCAGCAATCACTTTGAAATACTTTGAGTCAGGTGAAGATAATCTCCTGGGTTTTTTTGCATGTGTCTATAAAACAGGACAGAGCATGTGGGCGCACCATGAGAGATTGGTGTTTGTTCTTTTCTTAAATCTTTTCTTCCTTTCTTTTTAGTATTGAGATTTACATTCATAAAATTCACATAACCTAACATGGTGAACGATTCAGTGGTTTTTAGTCTATTCACAATGCGCTAAATATAATACTACTACGATTCAATTCCTAAACATGACCATCATCTCAACAAGAAACCCGTTGGTGGTCACTCGCAAGTCTCCACTGCACACACTGGCCACTGTGAATCTACTTTCTGCCTCTGCCTTTGCTTCTTCTGGGGAAGTTCCTATAAAGGGAACCACACAGTATGTGGCTGTTTGCTTCTTTCACTTCACATCATGTTTCCAGGGCTCATCCACGCTGCAGCCTGTGTCAGTGATTCCTTCTCTATGTTGGCTTATAAAATTCACCATATGGATGCACTGATTTTATCAGTTGGTCAACATTTGTTTCTACCTCTTGGTGACTGAACAGCACCAGCACTACTACAAATACCATGTACAGGGTTTGGTTTGACTACCTATTTTCAATTCTTTTGATTACATACATAGGCCTGGGGTTTGCTAGGTCACATAATTCTATGTTTGTTTACTGAGAAATTGCCAAACTATTTTCCAAGGCAGCCGCACCATTTTATATTTCTCACAGTAATGCACAAGGTTTCCAATTTCTCCACATCTTTTTCAATGCTACTTTTTTTATAGCCATTCCAAGGAGATGTGAAGTGCACCACATTTGGTTTTGATTTGCACCTCCCTGGTAACTAATGATGATGAACATTTTTTTCATGCATTTACTGGCCATTTATGTATCTTCTTTGAAACAATGTTTATTCAAAGCTTTTAAATTGGGTTGTCTTTTTATTGTTGAGCTGTCATTTTATTCTTAAACAAGACTGCTACATAGTTGGCTATTAAAATAATCGACTGTTTGGTAGTAAGGGTAATTAGGTTCAGCCTAGAGGGAACAGAAGAGTATAGCACCAAGGTAACTAACGGTCTACCTAGTTAATACTTCCATTTTTTATTTTTAAAAAGATCTCTGCCATTAGTGCCTTTCTGCATGTGGATTCCTTTCCCAAGGTTGCAAAAGCCACACAACCAAAAGAGACTTCTAGGGTTAATTGTTAGGGATTTCATTTCCTTTAAACTCTCATTATATTTTAGTATAATGGCAACAACATACAAGACTCCCTGGCTCTGGGGCTACCATCAGTAATGAGTGGGATCAGAACCCATTCACAAGCGAATGCAGCCCTACAACAGCAGAGGCCACTGGTCACGGAGGAGAAGCCCTGTTCTACAGAAGACTAGGAACTCCCGCTACCACTTCATAGTCTGTCCTACCCCATATGTAGTGATTTTTCAGTTTAGTTAGTGTCTATCTCATTATCTTCCTATCCCTCTGTTTAATCACTAAGTACTAAATATATCTCAAAATATTTACTCTTAAATGTATCTTACTATATCTAAATATATTTACCCCCTTTGCTCAACATTTTCTACTGTTACTGTAATATAAGCAATCACTATAATTCACTACAAATAATGCAGAAGGCTCCTGACTGTCTCCTTGACACTGCAATCCCGTCTGGAGATAAACAGCACCTTTCACCAATAAGCTAAGCCAAACACCCAGGAATCATAGTGGATTTATCCCATTCCTGAAGTAGCTGCTTCTTATTGCTAGAAATTTTGCTATTTAGAAGCTAATGATTTAAAAAAAAAAAAGGTCATCTCCAAGATATTGTACTTAACCCTAAAGAATCCACTCCAAAACTACTAGATCTAATATCTGAATTCAGCAAAGTGGCAGGATACAAAATTAATACACAGAAATCTGTTACATTCCTAAACACTAACTATGAACTAGCAGAAAGAGAACTCAGGAAAACAATTCCATTCACAACTGCATCAAAAAGAATAAAATACCTAGGAATAAACCTAACCAAGGAAGTGAAAGACCTATACTCTGAAAACTACAAGACACTCATGAAAGAAATTAAAGAAGATA